CGTAAACCTAGTATCAACTAGATAAGACACTCTTTCGTTTTAAGGGTGGTGTGATGAGTATGATGAAACTAGACGGAAGTCAATTTAGTAAGGAAGCAAATTTTGTTCTTACACTGTATAGACGCGTGATACGTGAAAAATAACAGATGTCGTCGCATCGAGCAGCACAGGTTGTCAGACATCTGGTTTTTAAATGCACATATCAGAAAGAAATGGCTGATTTTGGTGATAATGCACATAATCTTATTAAAACAAAGATTCTGCTGCTAATTAAAAATTGAGTCAGCCAAAATTTTAAATAGTAGAATTCCTGTTTTTTTTTTTTTTTTTTTTTTTTTTTTTTCTTTTTTTTTTTTTTGCGGTTGAACAAGGTTTATATCCGGACATTTCTAAATTAATTTTTTTCTTTTCTTTTTGATTGTCATTGATCTTTTCTTAAAAAAAAAAAGTAATTCGCGTCCCGAATCAATTACCATAATTCAAGCAAACCATATTCCCACGATGAAGTATTGTCAGTATCATCTTCCTTATCTATATTTTTTTATGGTGCAAATAAAAAAAAAAAATTAATCACCAAAAAGGAAAAATGCAAAAAAAAAATGCAAGACGTATTAATGATGATCGTAAATATTTATATTCTATAAAAGGCAACCACGTGAGGCAAAGTGGCTCAACATTGCGAACACACTCAAGCAGCAGCATTTATCTATTATAGTGGCTATATGCACACATCGGTTTCCGGCTTGATAAACTAACCAATATAAGGTAGAGGGTGGTATTCTGGCAAAGTTAAACTCGCCAATAGCAAAACTTTATTAAAATATTAATAATTACAAATTTTATTTCAATATAACATAATTCTTAGACTGCTGAAATTATAAAATCAAAAAAGACTTGTGTTTGCACAACTTACATTTGTACTAAGTAATTTCAACTGTCGGGAGGTAAAGTGACAAAATTAACTATAAACGGGAATAATTATCAGAATATATGCATTATGACAATCATCCTCGCTCTGAATCAAAGAGGTTTGTAGAATTATTTTACAATTCGATGGCCAGAGTTGAATGTTTTTTATATTATTCGATTCGTCTTGATGAGACGAATCGAATGATATAAGAATCATTAGATTCCAATTGATCAACCAAGTGTTAACTTCAATAATATGTGATCCGCCAGATTACTCACCCCCGCCAGAATACCCCCTACCTTATATTTTTCACGTTAAATCGATTTAATGACCACAATTTATAAAATTTTAATAGTGATAGCTATCTATCTAATCGATTAAAGGATATTATGATTCGGCTGAAATGTTCATTCTTCATCCCTTGTATCTCTAAACAACATGTTAAAGTACAAAGAATTCCTGTTGATCTCTATTTGTCCCAACGAACGCCCTCAAATTCCAAAACCTGTAATTTTCATAATTATATTTGTATTTACAATTATTGTTATTATTATTTTAAGAGAGTGAAGTTGAAATACTTAATTATTAATTATTTTTAATTTTGGTTTACCATCGGCGTTCCATTTGCATAAAAAACAATGGTGGTTAAATAAGGAAAGCACAAACTCAACAGCATCGATGATACATACCAAAAAAGTGGAAAGGACGGCTAAAATGTTTTCTATGTACAATAAACAAATTGTCACAAGACTCTACTTTATTCTAAAACAGTGTAGTGCGCTATTCCCGTTGTGTAAATGCGGGGTTTGTATCGGAAATGTGCGCACGTACGTGCCTATATCGTAAAGTATAAAAAGAAATTCGGTTTACATCAATTCTTTTTTTTTTAATTTTACCTTCCCACAAAGTGTTACAAATGGCTGACGCGAACGAACCTGTGACGCGTTCAAACGAAGATAATTCGTCTCCCGATGTGGTAATACCTGCGGATACTCATGAAACAGTAGAAACAGCACCTATCCAAGATCCGCCATCTGGTGCTTCTAGCGATAATCCTACAACCGTGGAGAATCCCACTCCGCAACCGGATTCCTCGGTACCTCCTGCAGACATTCTTCAACCTTTACCTCCACAGTTGCCCCGTTGGATGAACCCAACTCCAAAATTGCGTTCGCGCTTAGCTAGATATTTTCATAAAATGTCGTCTCGTTTTTGTCAATTTACCCTAATTATTATAATCATGTTTATTATGCTCACTATTTACATATCTAAAGATGTCCCTGAACGAAGTGATTATTCTCATCTAGAATTTAATTGGAAAGTGAATCCTGCTTCATATTTAACACCAATGGATAATACTTTTGTTGATTATAATATTTTGTTGGATGGGCATTCCCATACTACATTTTCTGATGGCCGGATGAAACCGGAACAATTGTTACAATGGGCAATAGGTATTTCCTATGCTTTTTGTAATAATAAACGTGATACAAATGTCTAACTTTGATATTCGAAATTCGATAGCAAATGGGTACAATGCTATTGTGGTAAGTGACCACAATACCATTGAAGGAGCTCTAGAAGCTCAAAAAATTGCAAATGAAAAATACAACAATCAGATTACCGTAATTCCAGGAATGGAATATAGGTTGGTTCTCTGTAGTTGAAGTTTTCTCTGTCATTATGTCTCATGTATTCTCATTGGATTTTGTTTGTCATCATATTATAGTTGTTGCAGGATACATATGCAATTCATTGGTATTCAGTCCAATCCTTTTGGACCTTTTAATAAACCCTATCCTACGAACGAAGAGTTGAAAAATATGATTGATCAGGTTCATGAAATGGGTGGTTTAGTAACCGTAAATCATATTCCCTGGAGTAACAAAACAGGTAAACAATATACCAACTTTCTTAAGTTATTGGTTTCACAAAAAAATCGGGTTTCTGATATTTAAATTCCCATAGAATGGAGATACCATGATCCCACATTACCGAATCATCCTACAAGGGATGAACTTTATGAAATGGTAAATATTTGAATTTGTTAAATAATTATAATAAATGATGCTGAAATTGGCTGAAGCTGAAAATTTGGGGATCTCAATTTAGATCCATAAAACCTGACCCCTAACCCTAAAAAAAGTCAAAAAAAAATGTACCCCAAAATTTTTTCAATTTTCATAATAAAATAGGTTAAATTTCAGCTTCAGCCACCACAATAAATAATATTATTAACGATGATATTACTGATTTGATTATGAAAGGGTGTTGATGGATTTGAGATCATTAACGGAAACGTCTTCGATTTCGAAACATATGTGTTCGCTAAAAAACATCAATCTCTTGCAATTTCCGGTTCAGATGTTCATCATCCATCTGAGGGTGCATACGCGTGGACTTTGTTGAAGGCGGCCAATAGAACTGTTGAAGGTATAATGTCAGCACTAAAAGGGAAGGCTACATCGTTTTTATTCGATGCTACAGGAACAAGGCCACGTTACTACCCCGCTGATAATAAGGAATACTTGGCTCTATTGCCAATAACTGCATTAGCAAATGTATTTGCTTCATTTTATGATGATTATAGAGGAATGTATTCCTTCCAAGGTGGATTTTGCCATGAAAGAAAAGTTGTTGTGCATTGGATAAGTTATTGGTATTTTGTATTGTATTGTTTATTATTTTTCATCATTTACGAAGTGATGAGAAAAGTTGTGAAATTTATGTACGCAAGATACAAAAAGTTTAGAAATGATAGAAGGGGTCATTGGCGCAGACTCGACGCAGATGAACAAAATCCGTATAATAGAGAATATTATACAGATATGGATGTTATAGACATGGAACCCTAAAGAAAACTTAGGAGAAATTTCCACTCCACTTTTTAATTTTTTACTCGTGATTATTTATTTATCCTTTAGTGAGCTGAAAATATTCATTTTATCATAAAAAAAAATTTTTTTAGTAAAATATTCTCTAACACAACATTAGAAATCTTGTAATATGTGTAATACTGGGGTGGCCGATCATCCAATAAAATTAAACATACGTCTAGCCCCATATAATTTGCAATATTGCAGATTTTTTAATTATAGTCATCTTTAATACGTAATTCCCAATTTTTTTCCTATTTAGTAAATAAATTTTTGTACTTCCATACTTACCAAGTTCCCGATCAAAGATCGTCAAAACACTTGCCGCGTATACTTTTATTGGTAGGATCTGCTTGCACAAATTGGGAAAAAAGTTGACGTTTTTGAAATACATCTACGTATTACAATTTATATTTCTATTTATATATTTAAAAAGACGATCGATCAGATCTAAAAAATTTATTTATTGCTATGGTATATATATGTATATACGATGCATGTTTATACGGGTCAGTTAAAGCGGAGCGAGGTTTAGGGTTATCTTTTTGATGCAGTTAAGGTGAGCAGGTTATATAAATATCAAGAATGCAACTTATGCAGTATGTAGATCATATATTGAATTCGCTCCGCTTTAAC